ATCGTGTCTTGCCCCCAAAAGGTGTGGCACACACCAAGACCCCACTCTCCCATCTTTCCCTCTCTCTGCTATTCCCTTCCCCACCCCACCCTCCTTCTTCCACTCTTTGCTCTCCCCCTCTTTGCTCTCCCCTTCCTCTACCCCCACTGTGTCATTAATTGTCCTCATATCAAAATTGAGTAAATAGGATTCATGCTTCTCCATTCTTGTGATGCTTTACTAAGAATAATGTGTTCCACTTCCATCCAGGTTAATACAAAGGCTGTAAAGTCTTCATTTTTCTTAATGGCTGAATAGTATTCCATCATATACATATACCACAGCTTGTTAATCCATTCCTGGGTTGGTGGGCATTTAGGCTGTTTCCACATTTTGGCAATTGTAAACTGAGCTGCAATAAACAGTCTATCAATAATATTTTAGGCTCAGTGCCTATAGCTCAACCGGCTAAGGCACCAGCCACGTACACCTAAGGTGGCGGGTTCGAATCCCCAGCCCGGACCCGCCAAACAACAATGACGGCTGCAACCAAAAAATAGCCGGGCGTTGTGGCGGGCGCCTGTGGTCCCAGCTACTTGGGAGGCAGAGGCAGGAGAGTCGCTTGAGCCCAGGAGTTGGAGGTTGCTGTGAGCTGTGATGCCATGGCACTCTACCCAGGGGGACAGCTTGAGGCTCCGTCTAAAAAAAAAAAAAATAAATAAATAATATTTTAAAAAGAGTTGGTATCCTAAATTCTAGAATGAAGGGCCCCTACTTTAATCACACAGGATAAAATAGGATTTAAAACTGAACGGTTTTGCCTTTTTATTTCTCCTAATTTTAAATTATTATGGGTCACGCTGGGTTGCTCACACATGTAATCCTAGCACTCTGGAAGGCTGAGGCAGGTGGATTGCTTGAGCTCAAAGAGTTTGAGACCAGCTTGAGCAAGAGAGAGATCCAGTCTCTACTAAAGTTAGAAAAACTAGCTGGACATTGTGGCGGGCACCTATAGTTCTAACTACTTGGGAAGATGGGGCAAGAGGATTTTTTGAACCCAAAAGTTTGAGGTTGTTGTAAACTCTAGCCAAGGGGATAGAGTGAGATTTTATGTAAGAAAAAAAAAGAAAGAAAAACAAGAGATTCTTCTGCTTATGGAGATGGCTTGTCAGACATTATACAGAAAATTGTAACTTGCACTGTGCTTTCTTTTTTAAATCTTAAGATGAAGTCATTGCCAGTTGCAGCAGTTTTGATGTGGCTTAATTTTCTGGGATCTGTAGTTTATACATGGAGTAAGAGTTGAAAACGGAAATATTCCTAACTTGGAATAATCCTTGACACAAATTGTAAAGCTTCTACTGAGAGAAGATAAAGAATCTTCCTAAAATCTAATGATTAAACTGGTCTGTATCTGTAATATCTTTCTGAATTTCTACATTAATAATTTATTAAGAGTCTTTAAAACAAATGGGTTTTCTTCTAATAAAACAGAAATCTGCAGAAATCTTGAAATTACTGTTACTTTTTTGTTTGCATTAGCATTATCATTTTATAGTTCATAGCAGAAGAAATTAAATATGCCTGTAAGAATTTAATTCTTATGAGGTAGAGTCCAGGTAATCGTGGATCCCATTCAAAGTTCGTACCTGCCCTGTGGTGCTTTACTGTAAGACAGTGAGGGGAACCAATCTATGTCTTTGCCTTTGTCAAATCAGTCTTTGTCTTTGAATATTAGTAATAGCACTTGTGCATAGAGTGCTTGTTACTTATTCAGTCAGCAAATTTGAGTGCCTACCCTGTGCGGTGGATGGCAGAAAAGCACAAATCTGAAATAATATCTTAAATTTAATTCCCCTATTCTAGCTAATTCATTACTTATTATCCTATCAGTCAAGGAGTCTGTTTCTCTTTCTCTCCCCTCTTTCCTTTCCTTTCTCTGCTTTTCTCATCCCTTTCTTTCTTTCTTTCTTTCTTTTTTTTTTTTTTTTTTGTAGAGACAGAGTCTCACTTTTTTGCCCTGGGTAGAGTGCTGTGGTGTCACACAGCTCACAGCAACCTCCAACTCTGGGCTTAGGCGATTATCTTGCCTCAGCCTCCCAAGTAGCTGAGACTACAGGCGCCTGCCACAACACCCAGTTATTTTTTGTTGCAGTTTGGCTGGGGTTGGGTGCGAACCCGCCACCCTCCGTATATGGGGCCGGCGCCCTACTCACTGAGCCACAGGCACTGCCCACCTCATCTCTTTCTTTTGCCTATCCTCTCCCCATCCCTGTATACCATACACTATTTCCTCTTCAGTTATGGTAGAAGAGGGTGTGCAGTTTTTTTGTTGTTGTTTTTGTTTTTGAGACAAGAGTCTCATTATTTTATCCTCAGTGGAGTGCTGTAGTGTCACAGCTCACAGCAACCTCAAACTCTTGGGCTTAAGTGATTCTCTTGCCTCAGCCTCCCATATAGCTGGGACTATAGGCTCCCGGCACAATGCCCAGCTATTTTTTTGTTGTTGTAGTTGTCATTGTTTAGCAGGCCAGGGCCTGATTTGAACCTGCCAGCCCCCATGTATATGGCCAGTGCCCTAACAACTGAGCTACGGGCACTGAGCCTAGTGTGCAGTTTTTAAAAGTATTGAATATATCCTAAAGAGATGTTTACTCCTTCTGTCCTTTTTTTTTTTTTTTTAAATTACTGCATTAAATCAAGACTTTATGGCCTTGGCTCATGCCTATAATTCCAACACTCTGGGAGGCCAAGGCGTGTGGGTTGCTTGAGTTCATGAGTTCGAGACCAGCCAGAGCAAGTGGAAGACCCCTCCTCTGAAAAATAGCCAGGCATTGTGGCAGGTTCCTGTAGTCCCAGCTACTCAGGAGGCTGAAGCAAGAGAATCACTTTAGTCCAATCGTTTGAGGATGCTGTGAGCTATGATATCCAGGGCACAGATGAGACCGTGTCTCAAGGAAAAAGGAAAAAAGTTCTGTTTTGTTTCATGTTTTTGGATCGATGACATTTGTGGAAAGAAAAATTTAATATTATCTTACTTTGGTTTTTTTTGACTAGAAGGAATTCTTCATACGTTTATATTTGATCCCAAAGAATCTTCCAAAAGGTGATCTTTCTTGTTTCCATGAGTAGAATTTAGAGTTAAATTCATACAAAAGTGAAATAAAATAAATTTTAAAATCTGTGGGTTCTTCAAACTCTATAACTTCTAAAAGATTCTATTCTGAAGGCAGAATTGTTAATAAAATCACAAGTATTGTGGAGGATGGATATGACACTGACTGGTTGTATCTCAAATCAGAAGAGCCACTAGAAAAAAGACACAACTACAGAATATGCATGTTCAGTAGAACACTGAGACAATAGCAACTTTAAATCCACCCAGGGTTTCCATACTATGATAAAATGGCTTACCTTGAATAGGCCACAAAGGAAGAATAACACCTTGTCCAGTAATATTTTCTTGTTCATTATGGTTTTTGAGAAGAATAAAGAATAATTGTTTTGAGGTATGTAAGAAAATAGATTTGCTGAGTATTTTTTAAATCAATTTTGTGCAGAAAATTGTTAAATGTCTCCTTGTCCTGTTGCAATTCTACTGTTTTACCAAAAAAGATTTGAGGCTGTCCCAGAGTCTCGGTGAATGATCTCATATTTCCATAGGGAATCAAGTTAAATGAAGCTCTTTAGCTTCCTGTTGATTCATTTTTGGTAATGTCTCTAGTAAGTGGCCTTTCTTGGACTCTTCTCTCTATCCATCCACCTGTAGTACTTTACTCCTATCTGTGAACTCATAAGTTGCCTTCTGTAGGATCCTTTTAATATCTCATTACTATCCGATGGGTGAATTGTTTTTCACTTGGCTATCTAGGTGTTGAATGACTCTGTGGGATTTATAAAGCTTTGTAAGCTTACATCCTTCATCTAGAATTTTTGATACAGTGGAATGATTCAATAAAAATTATGTATTTTCTTGCTCAATTTTTACCTTAGCAGTATGAATGCTATGCCAACAAAATGATCTGAGATGAAAACTGAATGTTATGGAAGTGCTGCCTACCAAAGAAACCCTAATCAAAGTGTCCTTTTCTTGTCTAGAAACCTTTTAAAAACTGAATTTGGAAGGCAGTATTTTTTATAAAATATTCAACACTTTATAGTTGAATATAATTATAATGTAGGGGCCTGAGATGTATGACTTGCTTAAAATCACATAATTGATTAAAAGAAGTAGACCTGAGTCTAGAATTGGCTCATACGCTAGTTTTCTTATGTAAATATTCACCATATCCTGTATTTCAGACCTTGGTATGTTCAAACCATGAAAGAGGAAGAACCTACCAACTTAGGCTAGTGGTTAGAAAGATGAGCCTTTGTGCTAAGTCTTTTGCTATTGCAAACTCTGTGCAATAACACGGTTAAACCCTCTTTTGTTCTGCTGAACTTTTATATTTAATTTTTAAAAAACCGGGATATCCCCTCATACTAAATTGTAATTTTTTTTTAAGTGATGATTTAAATAAAAATAAATAAAGAAAATCTTGTTCTCTGGCCCAGGTTGGAGTGCAGTGGCATGATCATTACAGCCTCTGTATCCCTGGGTTCATGAAATTTTCTTCAGCCTCTCTCATAATTGTTTAGTTGTTTTTGTTTTTGTTTTTTTTCTTGTCTCACTCTGTTGCTCTGGTGCAATGGTGTCATCTCAGCTCACTGCAACCTCAAACTCCTGGTTTCAAGAATTCTTCCTTCCTCAGCCTCCCAAGTAGGTGGGAATACAGAGGCACACCACCACAGCTGGCTAATTTTTCTGGTTTTTGTAGTGACAGGGTCTCATTTGTGCTCAGGCTGGGCTCACACTCTTGGCCTCAACTGATCCTCTCGCCTCTCCCTCTGGGAGTGCTAGGATTATAGGTGTGAGCCATTATGGTGGCCTTGAAAATGAATATGAGTTATCACCTAGACCTAGTATTTCCCAGCATGACTTTGCAGTGGAAAGTAATGGGCCTTATCTTGTATTTCAGCTCAGACATCTATAGCTGCACCAAAGACATGGAAAAAACCAAAAGATCGGACCCGAACCACTGAAGAGGTATTGGAGGCTGAATTGGAGGTAGGAGACAACAGATCTTTGGCTTATCTTGAGAACATTAGCACTGTTTCATAGATAGATGTGGGTTTATGCCTCTTTCTTGAAATACTGTTTTTCAAGCAAAACTTGATATAATAAATTCAGAGACTAATATTTTAAAGTTCATTTATATTAGATTTTTTTTTTTGAGACTCACTGTGTTGCCCTCACTAGAGTGCTGTGGCATCACAGCTCACAGCAACCTTAAACTCTTGGGCTTAAGCAGTTCTCTTACCTCAGCTTCCCAAGTAGCTGAGACTATAGGCTCCCACCACAACACCCAGCTTTTTTTTTTT